GTACCTTGTACCAAATTTCGTCGTCGGCTCGTCTGTTGTACTTTATCGAGAGATAAAATGGACCACTCGTCCTCAGATTGGAAGGTCTACGGCTAATGTACTGACGAAATAAAGCAACTGGACATTTTCCTTCCCCGGTCTGAAACATTTTGGGCTGGAAATATCTTGGCTTTGTACTCAAACCTCCAGGTCTTGTTTTCGTAGGCCCCTCTGCAAACTCAACAAATTCGATGCCGTCGTCACCGTTCATGATTCTGAAATCCTCCAGTCTCATTCCGTGGTGTTCTTGCCTTCCACGAAGACCAAAGTGTTGGGTAAGGAGCCACCACATTGTTTGAATTAAAGATTCTGGGTTATTACCTCCGAGTTTTCCGCTCTTCCAGAGAATTTCTTCTTCCTCCTCTGATACTTGTCGAGCTTTGTTTGGACGCTTACCACGGCCAGCCAAGCGAATCTGTTTCGCTTTGCCTTCCAACACCTGTTTGGACGAACTAAATTCTCGGTCACGTACAAAGGACAAGGTGTAGCCTTTGTTCTTTAAGTGTCTGTCAAGCGATGCCATCATTACTTTGAGGCTTTCTGGTTCATAATCTTTATCTTGTTTATTTTTTACTTCGGCGTAGAAATGCTCGAGCAAAGTGTTAAGCTCAGCCGGCTCATAATTTTCTATTTCATCTGTAATTTTCTTCTCTAAGCACCACTTCTTCCCAACAGGGAGCCAAAAATCGGTGCTTTTTGCAGTGTTTTCGTTTTTGGAGCAGTTTTTCATGTCCTCTATAGTTGTTGCGGTCGCAAAAGCAAATCTGCTACAAACGCAAGCCATTGCGGTTGTTGCTCGAAACTGGTCAAGAGCGGATCCAAATTTTACGCCATTCAGATGGCGCACTTGATTGGCTCTCAGTGAGTTCCTTTGTTTATTAACCAATCAGAGTACCTCGTTTGTTACCTCTTTTCTGCACTAAATTGCCTTTTTTCTGCACTGTGTTACCAAAAAACTGCATTTCTCTTAGCCAATCACAATCGAGAAATTTTTTCATGTATATTATTAGTAACGTAAGATTAATTCCACGACATTATTGTAAGTGGGTTATGACGCATATAATCTATCAGCACGCAGTGAAATGGAACCGTCAGCCTCTTCCCGAACCTGGACCACCGATGCGTCTAGTGATGCTTGGGTGTAAGCTTTCAAGATGGCAATTACACTTAATGTAGAAGGTCTTGCCAGGAAATACTAAAAATATGTATTATAGAATAACTTATAATATATAACTTTTAATTTCATCCTTTGCATTTGTATAATAAGAATATGTGAAAACTTCAAGTTTTAAATTACACCTTGCCATAATTTTGGACATGTGAAATTCGGATGAAGTAATAAAGCTCAGTTGCATTAAGGATCCCATGAAATATTTTTTTACTTTTAGTGTATTTGGAAAGATGCAGATGTCGCTGCAGAAACCGTTTAAAATTAAGTTTACACTATGAGGAGTTTTTCCAGATTTACTACAGATTTATTAGGTTGTACAGAATCCCAAGCGTTTACACACAACATTTAATCGGACAGTATTAAATTCGGATACAAAATATTTACTCTAAGCCCCGTGCAAACGGACGCAACATTGTTGGCTAACAAACTCCCAACAATGCTGCTTGCAAGTTGCGTCTGTTTGTACGCCCTGTTGCATGTGGCTGCGTATTGCTGGGAGTTGTTGCGCAAAGTTTGAAACCGGTCAAACTTTTAGATACGTGCAAACGGACGCAACAACTCCCAACAATATTGCGTCCGTTTGCACGGGACTTATGATTTCGCCGGCGATATCGAAATCTGGGGCTTTTTACAGTTTGGATTCACGCATCTGCTTTTAAACTGCAAAACGAACCCGCTAGAAAAATGCTCTGAATTATGTTATACCTAGCCAAATAAGTTGTTGTTGTTTGGAGAATTGAAACGTCAACATTTTTTTTTCTCAAGTTTAGTTTACCTTTGGCGTGTCATCAAATAATCTACTATTTCATTAGTGCGATGTATCTTATTTCTTTTTTATGATTTTATTAGATATAATAAGACGAAATAGGGACAGATTTGTTGGAGGAGTGGTAAGTTGGCATTCGTCACCAGCAATACAACACACTATCCTACAACTAAAGAAAGCGCCTAAGGATTGTTAGTGAAGTAAAAAGAACAAAAACAAATTTCGATAGGCTAAGAAGGAAGGACAACAATGGAATTGTGGGAAAAGACAGAGAGGAGGAAGGGAAAGGACTTCATAGAAATGTTCATGTTTCGAGTCTTGATGCATAATTGCCTTTATCTTCATTACCATGCACAACTTGCTCAGAGAGCAAGCATGAAGGAAGGAAGGAAGGAAGGAAGGAAGGAAGGGAGGGAGGGAGGGAGGAAGGGAGGGGAGGGAGGGAGGGAGGAAGGAAGGAAGGAAGGAAGGAAGGAAGGAAGAGTAATACCTGTCTGCAGTTGAAAATGACTGCGCCAAGGAAAAAAGTAATAGTTATTAATTTTCGGTGATAGAAGATTAAACCAAGACAAAGACCCACGACGTCGATGACGTTCTTGACGCATAATAATGTCATGCACTCTTTACTTCAAAGGTGGTGTGAGTTATGTCCAACGACCCTGTTATTTAATTTTAAGGCTCACTGTTTCACCGGCACAAAGGAAGAGGCAGCTGATTATTTGGATCAAGGTTTATACATCGGTATCACAGGATGGTAAGTCAGACGCAGTTTTCAACCACTATAGTATGACGACATTGTGCTTAACTTTAGGCTGGGGTGTAAACGGTAAAGCTTATTCCATGTCAACTTTATTTTCTTGGATTACTAGTTTACATTTTAAGCTTCGCGGTCTCATGAAGCAGGGTTCACCTATCCCTGTTTGTACGCTTTGGTTTGCTCGCTAAGTTCCATGTTAAGCTAAGCTGCTTATGCTCAGTCCAGCCATGTGTACCCTTAACCACCCGGTTTCCTTTGGCACAAGCTAGAAAAATATGTCCTTGTATGATTTTGCTGGTCAGCGGATAAAATCAGGTGCGGTAAAAAAAACTCTAAAAAAATGGCGTAGTTGGACGCGGGATCTCTGATGGCTCCTCTGATGGCTCCTTGTTCACACACCTTATCAGGTTACATTTTCAATTTCTTGAATGTGGGTGTAAAACGTGAAGGGCGTTGATTTATATCGCATCTCAAGTGCTCTGATTCCAAGATCATTTTTGTCTTTTAGTTCGCTGAAAACTGAAGAGAACATTGAGGCCATGAAATCAATTCCTACCGATAGACTGTTACTTGAAACAGGTATGGTTTTCGTATAAAAGATTTTCTTTATTTATTTGCCGTGCTGGCTAGTCCAGCCAAACTTTTTGTTGCAGTTAGTCAATAATGTTTATATTTTTGTTTGCACTGAGCTCTGTGTTGGGCGGTTGCCCTTCCAGTTAATGGCTAGTATCTCCAAACTGAGGTTTCATGAGACAGGCACCTGACAGACAGATTTTAACGTATTTTTAGCGTGTATACATCTATCTTTTTCATTAATATCATTATTTCGTGTTCAGATGCGCCATGGTGTGATATACGTCCTACCCACGCCGGATTTAAGTACATCAAAACAAAGTTTGAAACCAAAAAGAAAGAAAAATGGGAGAAGGGACTCTGCGTCAAGGAACGAAATGAGCCCGCTAACATTGTGTAAGTACAGCAGGAACTCACTATTTTCTGTTATGTAAAGTCATGAGAGTCATCATCCCCGGAGTACCAGATGCAGTCAATTGGGTCGAGAGAAAAGGCCTGAAGGAAGTTTTAAAGCGCGGGAGCTCCGAGGACGTCAATAGAGTTATTAGGCTTTTCAAAGAAAATGGGAGTCTGGGAACGAGCCCGCTGACTTTTGATCCTAACGACTGTGAAATGCATAAAGATGTTAAGTTACTATTGAAGAAACTATTGTTTTTTTGCGGTTTGTTTGTTTTATAGTCAAGTCTTGGAAGTTGTTGCGGGATGCCGTGGAGAAGATGTGGAAAGCCTAGCTCAAAGTGTTTACGAAAATACCTTAAATTTGTTTTTCAGCTAGCAGATAGTCTTGTTATAGCATTTGATCCCACTGATACTTTGATCCCCAAAGGACAAAAATTTTCAGAAAAAAGCATATTAGGTTACGAGTGATCAATACTGCCTGCCTTATTCGATCGCGCCCATCTTGGCTCCAAGAGAGAGACTAACGGCGCTTACAATTTATCAGAGTTGGCTGGCCTTACCAGTTCAGTCGTAAGGAGAATTCCACTTTTGATCAGGAACTATTCAGCCAGATCAGTTTATTTGTAAATGGTATATTTATGCACGGATGTGATGAGTTTTCAGTAAAAAATTTCCAGAAAAGACTAATATTTCATTTTCAAAATGACTGGTCTGGCCGGCCAGTTCTGACTTTTGGAAAGGGCCCTTAGATTCTTTTCATTCAACAATGCAGTTACATGGATTGCTAATTACTTTAATATTGATAATTACTTACAAACTGGAATGGACTTTTTATAATGTTAAATTAACAATGAATATTTGAAAAATTTTCACCCAAAAGGGCTGTAACTTAAAAGCAATTTTTTTTAAAAAAAAATAACTAAGTAGTGTCATAAACTCAAATGAGTTTCGTCAATATGTTTCGTCATAAAAATAAAAGCATTAAACAAAAAATGAAACTGCCTGAGCCAGTTTCTTGTTAAATCAACCAATTCTTTTCAAAAGCCTTGTCTGAGTCAAGCAGATATAAGGTAGCCTAAGCTATCGACGTTTTACAATAAAATCCAACTAGTTGGTCAAAAATATCGAGACACAATAACTTAAGCTACCGAAACGCGATTCAGCCGCCATTGTTTTGGTTTTCAAAGCCGGCGCTTTTCGCTACCAGTGGGCTATATTATATAGCCTAGTAATAGCTCAACCAATCAGAACGCATCATTGATAATAGGCCACTAGTTGGATTTTACTAAATAGCGTTATCTGCTGGAAAGGAAGCCATCTTGCGAACTTAGAGATTTATCGGAAATACTCGGACTTCGTCGTTTGTCAGCCGGCTGAATTTTCGTGCCTGCTCGGCAGGTGAAGTATAGAAACGACGAACAGAGAATAAAGAACAGGAAGCCACCCAAAAGCAGGATCCAAATACCCTCCACTGAAATAAACAACAAAAGTACATTTATATATTGACAGATTAGAATCTGTGTGCTAACCTAACTTAATAGGTCTCCTGAAGGGGGAGAAAGTTGAATGGCATCGTTGGATACATTGTTTAAGTGTAAGTATACCTGGAAAGAGCTTAGCGTGACGTGACGAGGAGAGAATGATTCAAAAAACTCATTCAAGAGGACATTAAAAGTTCAACTTGCACGGGAATGTGAGAGGGAGAGTTTTTTTCAGCCATTCATTGCCACATGTAAAAGCGGAGATGACGTGATACCAAATAAAGAGTCTTACACCTTGGAACAATTGAACAAGGGGCTTTTAGTGTCTATATACCTGAACACTGTTTGTACATCGGCACAAGCGAATCACAATGTGCTTGAAATTCAGCGCTTCCATGACCGGTAAGAAACGTCTGAACTTTCGTAGCATCTAAAGTGAACAGCCCCCCTAGAATTGAATTTCAGGAGTCAATGAGAGATCAGTGGCTGGTGAAAAGACCGCGCACCGAGATAAGGAACGCTAGGCAAGTTAAGTAACGCTTATACCGTATTTATTCGAATAAGTGCCCAGCCTCGAATTAGCGCCCACCTCGAATAAGCGCCCATCCTAAAGGCAGAAAAAGTTATCAAGCGCCCAGCCTCGAATAAGCGCCCACCCCCTCCTCCTCCCAATCAAACTCAAATAAGCGCTCACCCCTACCCCACCCACTTGAGTGAATAAATTCTAATAAGAGACTTCCCCGAGGACGGAGTTTTCTTCAGAGTATTTTACAGAAACCTTGCTTTGCGTTTTGTTATTAGCATTTATTGTTTTGTTGCCAAATAAACATACTTCACTTGCTGAAAATGGTGAAAATTTAATAAGCGCCCAGCCTCGAATAAGCGCCCACCTCGAATAAGCGCCCACTCTCAAAGTCCAAAAATTTAATAAGCGCCCAGGGCGGTTAATCGAATAAATACGGTATTAAGTATTTACCTGGCCAGCAGAAGCCTCTCTTTGTACTTAAGACTGACCTGCAATGACGTGAAAGGATTTTCACTTTTATTTAATGGAATTTTCGTTCATGGATGGCTAAGAAGGTATTGATAATGGCTACAATAATTATTTAAATATTCATTTGAACATAGCATACATTTGAGGTTGTTTTTCTTTCTGGACTTTATTTCTAACGACAAAGGTTCCACATCATTTGTAAAAAGTGGCAGATTTAAAGCAAAATTTGTTAACCTGACACCATTGATCCAGACAACCACGTGACCCTTTGGACACCAGATGCCTCCATATTTGACGCAGGAGTTGCATTCCATGAAACACGTCTCTTGCGGCATTTCGTCAGCGCGACAGTATTTATGAAGACGACCTAACAAGAAAAAAGAGAAAGTAAAGTTGAAAAAAAGCGCTTTGAGTTTTGTCTTTCGTTTCGAGTTACTTCGTCTGTCGCTTACATGGAGATGGGATGGACCTTTATATTTAGCCTGCAGTGCAGGCGTTTTCTTCGGGCGTGCGAATGTTAACCCTAACCCTAACCCCCTTCCCGCTCTCCTTCTTTCGCCCTCGCACCTACCCTAAGGGTTACTATTTCTACTCCCCCCAATCTTCCTCTGTCACAAAATCAAATATGGCGGCTACAACAATATGAACATAAAAAAGATTTCGCCCACCTGAAATGTTAATACGCCTGCACTGCTACTTTATATTATGAGCGTTTAGCTAAGAAATGGTACAGTCAAATAGGTTCTCTAATCACAGTACTCAAGGTGAACCTCGACACAAAAACAGGCGAAGCACATTCTTCCCTTAATTTGATGAAGGACCCAAAGAGAAATGTGAAACATTCAACGTTCCTCTGACCCTAAAGTGCCTATCGATCAATACATATAACAGATAGGGGATGGTTTTCACCTTACAGGGTCCTCGATCAACGCCTTAGTCCCTTGATTAACAAGCTCAAGGGAGGCTACAGTGTTGTGAAATACAATACAAATGTAGATGTTTCTATCATCAGTTTTATAGCACTTTATAGGCCGGAGATGGTCGGGTCAGTTGCCGGCAACTTATTACCGCGAGACGTACCTTTCACAGTGTTATTGACACGAATGGGATTTCCTAGAACAAAATAATAAAGTTCGTACATGAGAAAGACTAAAACAGAAACAAACAGGAAACAAAGATATGTATTTACCGCCGGAAACACCAAGGAATAAAATATATTACTAAATATAATTAACAATACGTCTCTTACCACAAGGCCCAGCCTCTGCATGTGAAATGTTGCTGGGTGCAAATCCTATTCTCTGATTGGCTCGATCAAACACTACCACGTTACCTTCCATGACCACTTCACCAAGTACAGCTCCAGAGCGTTTGACACCGATACTGAGGCAGTGGAATTCGCTTTAACATATATAAAAGGCGCCTATTTCAGCTAAGTTTTTACAAAGCGAGAAAGAAATAAGCTAGAAATACTTACCCATGCTGAGTTTAAATAAAGTAAATATCAGAGTTGTAGTCAATAGAAATCAGTATAAAAAGTACCGAGCTCCAGAGAACGAAGCCCAAACAGGTAGAGGCCTTGGAAAAGGGGCAGTTCAAATCGAGCTCTAAACTTGTGAGTGTTACACCAATTGTGAGTGTTGCACCAAAGTCAGTCTTGACATCGTTAACCACTATAACTTTGTGTTAAAAAAAAATTTGCTCCAAATAATTAACAATTATTGGACGAGGTTGAGCAAAATATCGTGATTTGTCTGTGGCGAGCAGATCAATTATTTGCCGAAGCCGTAGGCTGAGGCAAATAATTGATCTGCGAGACACTGACAAATCACGATATTTTGCGATAACTGAGTTCAATAATTGTTTTATCATTCGATCGAGTTTGTTTTTTTTAATGAATATCCTTGGGAAGCGAAGCGATCTGCCATTTTCACGCAAGAACGATCGCAAGACGGAGAAAAGCACGGTTTCCTTACGCATGAGCAGAATATTATTTACAGCCAATTGTTGGACAGCATTGCGCATGAGCGGACCATTATTTGTAGGCAGTTATTTGCAGGTCACTTGGTGTGCTCTCGGCCAATAAAAAGAAAGAAAAATTTGCTTCGAATGATAATTGCAGTTATCATTCGAAGCAAATTTGGATCAATTATTTGCCTCGGCCTTCGGCTTCGGCAAATAATTGATCTGCTCGCCACAGACAAATCACGATACTTTGCTCAACCTCGTCCAATAACTGTTAAGTATCTGGTAATCAAAATTATTCTTGACTCCTTAAAACTGTCTTGATCACGATGAGGACCTGAGCAATCGTACCTAAACTGTGGTATTTGTGTTACAGGTAAAATTTGATTTCAGGTTAAATTTTTTTAACCTAGGTTGATTCTCAATTTCCTTTTTCTTCTATGGCCAGGAGACATTCGAAATTGAGAAGCAACCTACATTAAATCAAAATCAACCTGAAATCAAATTTAACCTGTAACATTTGAAAAGAGAAACGAATCAAAGAGGTTTCAAGAGTGCGTCGCGGCTTTAATACCAGTTTGCTAATCTGAATGACTCACTCTTGCTTTCTGACATAGTGTTTTCCGAGAATTGTCAAACCAAATGAACCTCCAACTGCAGAGGAAAAACGCAAAATATAAGCATTAAATTAAGTGCCTCGACAATCTGCATATACAAAATATATCTGAGAGCGTTCGGCATTAATAAGGATCGTTCAACTCACTCATGTCCTTAAGATAGATGGTAAGATAGGGCCACTGGTAAGGATCTGTATCAACACAATAACTGTTCCAAAAGCGTTCGTCCACTGGCGGCCCACGCTAACAAAATAAAATGACAATGAGGTTAAAGCAAGTTACGTGAGTGTTAAATAAAACTGACTGGTCATGGATTTTTACCCAGGTAAGAAGTTTTTTGGCATATCCGCAACTTTTTTAATTATGCAAAAAGACGTGGAGTGATCGCAAAAGTGAGAAAACGCCTGCATTACGTCATGGCTAAAGGTCGAAATCAGCATCATTACCGTATTGACAAAACCGTCATAAAAATAGTCATTTTCACGACAATAGTGACAATAACTTTAATGATGATAATTATAGTGAAGAGCAGGGCGTTGATGACGATAATAATGGTAATAATAATAACAATGATAATTCTATGGCTGCATTTAAAGAAGAGGGATTTATAACATCTTACAATTATTGAATGAGGTTTTTGTAATATCCGAGAAATCAAGGTCGAGCAAATTGCTATCAGCCCAGACCTTGATTATTCCGCGTATCACGAAACACAACTAGTAATTGTTTTACTGTACATTACTTTGAAGAAAATGGCGACAGACACACTGTCGCATGGAACACAGTTTGTCATTGCTCCTGGAAATCATGCATTGGTCGCGCAACGAACAGACTAGTTACCTGCTAGTCTGAGATAACTAACTTATCTGGAGCTAGTGGTTCGAAGGCCGATTAGCGCTAAACCGGAAATAACTTTTAATCCGGGTTTCTTTTTCTTTTGTTCCAAAGCATTTTCTCGGATAATTTTCTGTATTCTTTATAAAGCGTCCAATCATCAAATTGTAGACAAAATGAATTAAACTTATTTTCCTTTTTAAACCTTCATATTCGAATTGAAATTTCGCATTAACCTTGGGATATTCTTACCCAGCTTTGAACAACCCGGCCGAGTAGGGTACGGTGATTTCCAAAATACACTGTAGGTGCTTAGCCAGTGAGAATTACTGCTTTCTGGTATCTGATTAATAGGGGAGCTCTCGCGCGCGAAGCGCGCCAGCGGAGCACCGCGGGTGAGAAAATGAAGTAATTTACCCATCCAAGAAAATTTGGTAATCACGCGACCGTACACCGACCGCCTGCCCGAGAGACCGTCCGTCCGCACCACAGGCATACCAATGTAAAATAACTCAATCAACAGGTATGGCAACCCAAATGCAACTCGAGGTTATTTTGGCGGGAATTCCCATAGCCACCAGCGTCTTGTAAAGCAAAGAGAACAAAAGAGTCAAGAAAGACGAAAACGGAAAGCGGAAATTGTTTCTTTATCCGTGTTGCCTAAAGTATTAAGGTTAGATAAATTGTCATGTGCACAAATTTGGAATATAGAGCAAGAGAAAGACAGAGAAAAAGAGAACGTGGGCGGCAGGCCAGCGAAGCTCAACGAGAGAAAGGGCGACAGAGATTTAGAGCAGAGAGATAAAAAACAAAGGAGGCATTTTTTTTGTTGGAAGAGCAACACGGAAATTGTGTAGCGGCGGTGACAAAATGAGAATGCGGCCACCAATGCAATGTGAAAATGAGCGGCAGTGAAAAAAAGTGAACGAGAACACGTACGACATTTCCTCCATAAAACGTGTAACTAAGAAGTTTCTAGAAGTTTCACGTTGTGGTCGTACAAAACAACGGCAAAGAAATCTACAAAAAAAGAGTGCTGCGCGTGTAAAGTTGCTTTTTTGCTAATTAGACCTATTGTTGTTTTTCACCGTTTTCCACCGCTTAGCATTACACGATTTTATATTTTGTTTGAACAAACTATAAATATAATCGAGAGCTTCGCTTTTAGCCCTGGCTAAATATATATATTATCTCACCGTTTTTAGCTCTGCTATAACGGCCTCGTATATTTCAGGCTGTAATAAGATGTCCGTTGTACCTGCCGACACAAAAATCCATATATGATTGGATGTTTTCCTGCTTAGGTAGTTTTAGATGGGGATCGAGTAGCCTAACCCTAATCGACCAGTTAAGTTATTATTAAGGTTCATACTTTGCATCGAGACTGAGGGATATAAAACGAAAGAAGTCGCATCGAGATTCAGGAAATAATGATTTTTTTTTTATTTCATTCCCCTCAGCCTCGCAGCCAAGTTAAAGTATGAAACTGGTCTCGAGCTAAGATTTCCAGACCTACAGACAGACGCCAGCGAGATCTGGGTAGCAGATTACAAGTGTTTAATTTCTTCTTTTTTAAATGAATCATGACATAAATCTTCCTCGACAAACGCACGAGAAGTAATTGGTTACTGCATGACAAACGTCTCAATCTCGGGGTCCCGAGGCAACGGGATTCGAGTACTTATCGCTTGGTTTAGCGCTCTAACCACAGGTTTCATATAACACACGCTTCCTTAAGTGCAAACTGCAAAGATCAACAACAAATCCTTCTTTGCCCAACAAATCGTTACTGCCTGTTTCTAAGGAACTCACCACTATCCACAATAGCAGATGAAAAACTCGGAGGTAGCAAACCTAGGCTGTTGCCAGCAACATCCTGAAATACAACAATACATTGACAGATGTTAAAAGGTAAAGTACAGTCTGCATTTTGCTCGACATTTGCCGTGTATGATTCTGTTTGTCACAGCTAAGTTTTAGCGACATCATTTAATAAACAATTATTGGATGAGGTTGAGCATGATATCATGAATTATCAAAACCGAGGTTTGTGTTATCTGCCGAAGCCGAAGGCTGAGGCAGATAATACAGACACGAGGTTTTGATAATTCATAATATCATGCGAAAACCGAATTCAATAATTGTTTTATTATACATTTTTTAAACAATAGGCAAAAGAAGACATTCAGCCATTCTGTTTCTAAGGAGAACACTCCAAGGGGCTTGGTAACCAGGCAGACGTTGAACTTGACATGGTAAATGCAATATCTGCAGCAGATATTGCATTTATCATGTCAAGTTCACAAGCTATTGTGAATTGATTGAATGCTCTCGACCAATCACATTTTTTTTCATAGTGAGTCTGATGTATAATAATATTAAATAGCTAGAAAGGTTTCTTTTCTGTTTCTACATTCTTTATGATTACGTTTATTTTAAACATATTAACTACTTAAAGATCTTATGTTATATTATATATAGCCTCTACAGGTTTGGTCTTACCACGTCCAATATAAATAAATAAATAACGATTTGAAGGTAGCACATCCACGGTAGTTCTTCGTCTACCTGATTCCGGGTCGAATTGGAATTTGGAAATGCTGGAGTACCCGGAGCAACCGGAGTACCTGGAGAAAAACCTCTCGGAGCAAGGGAGGTACCACATAGACTATATTTGGTCAAAAAAAGCAAAGGGGTAGACATCATTGCCAGGCTTAGGCATTTTGTGCCTACCAGTACTCTCTTAAAACTTTATCGTTCCTTAATCGAACCGTACATTTCCTATGGACTAACTGCATGGCGACAAGCTGCCAATTCAAGTCTGAACAAAATTCTAATTCTAAAACGAAGTCTACGGTTAATGTACTTTTCTGACAGGAGAGCTCATGCCATACCTCTGTTCGTCAGGTCTTGGTGTTTTGCTTCTGAATTTGCTGTACTTTAAATAATGGGCTATCCTAATGCACGATATCTCCAATAACCGGGCCCGTTCTAAAATTTCTGAATTGTTCGTCCGTTCTAACGTGATACATTCTCATTATACCAGATTTTCTGCTGCAGGTAATTTTTATGTCCAGAGATTTAGACTCAATCAGCTATTATTATCTTTTTCTAGAAGTGGTGTAAGAATTTGAAACAAAATTCCTCTTACGTTACGTGAACAGCGCAAAGATCCTTTCAAGCGTAAATTACGAAAATTACTGATTAAGGTTTTGGAGACTAAGAATGTGTATGTTGATATGAGTACCATTGCCAGTTGCTACCTGAACTCCTTATTCAGTTAAAGTGTTTTCCTTCCTTATATCTATAGGTGCTACCTTTTATTTATTTATTTTCATTTTATTTTTTCTCTCTCTTTACTTATGTCCTTTTGCCGACTTTATAGGAGACAATTATTGTATTGTTGCCCACCTAGAATAGCTCCGCTAATTGTGGGTAACATAGACTTAAATTATTTGACAATTGAATAAATTGTTGTTGTTGTTGTTGTTGTTTGGAGAGAACCAACGACAAACTTAACCCACATATGGCGTCGACGCCGGGACCCCGGCTACATTAATTTGGTGGGAAGCGAGTGCTCTCAACGTAGTGCCACGGCGCCACCCTTGCCTTGCTCCCCAAATATTCAAGTACGATCATGGTCTTCTTTCAAAAAATCGGTTAAGACTTTAACGCCACCATCAATGGTTTCTTGCTTTTACAGCCTTACACCAGCTCTTTAACAGGGTTTATAGATACATTATGCCGGCGTAATTTTGGACATAATGCCGATTATAATACCGGCATAATGGGTATGTTTTTAGCATAAAGAGATGATCTGGTGAATAATAATGAGAAAATTAATTTGAGGGTGACGCTCAAAAGCATAATGTTCAAATCTTCGCGTATAACTGATGTATCTAACTTTAACATTCGGGTGATAGAAAACCTATTTGGGTCGATGAAAGTTTCCCGCCTATAATTGAATTGGGAACACTACTGATTTGCTTTCAGTTAGCAAGGTCAATTTTCCCGCCATATTTGGTTAACAATGTACCACACACTCACAATGCCTGTCATTGTAACACTGTACCAGGTCTCCTGATCAATGCCTGTATAATGTAGTGGCCCATGATACTCAGATGATTCTGGAAAGTCCAGCCAGATTTTACCCTTTGGAAAAAACATCGCATATAAAATAAGGCCAAGTTCGAATTACGAAGAAAGGAGGACGATACGCATTTTGAAAAAGGAACGAACGAAAGATGTAGCTCTGAAGTGAGAGAGAGAATAAGAAAATCGAAAAAAACTAAGACACCTTTGTTCCTAAAGTTATAGAAATAAATTTTCCTTTTAGAGAATTCTTTAATTAGGCCATGTGGAAGTTTAATGTGCAAAAGAGCATCGCGTTTTTCACTCACCATTCCGTTACATAAACCGAGAGAAAACACATTAGGAACTTTACTGTCTTGAACGAGCTGATCATACAGTGGCTAAGAAAATAAATAAGTATTCAGTTAATACAGATCTTTCGATTCAATTTTTAAAATTATTGAAAAAAAAAAGATGCCTTGATCACTGACCTGTACTTCATCTGTCGCCAAACTCTTGTAAGCTAGACCAAGAATACCTTCATTAATTGAGTTTCCTGCATTGAAAGCCCAAAAAGTATTTGAAAAAGCTCGTCAATAAAATCAAAGCGATTTTTTTACCTGAGCTTGGGGTTATTTTATATATTTAGTCAAGAAAATCAGTTTAAAAAGAACAAAGAATATTATTACTTACTCAGAAAGAAATCTTTTTCGTGACTTATTACTGCAAACTCTGCTGTAGTTCTGGGACCTAAGAATGTAAGTTATATAGTCACATTATTATTCATCAAAACCGCTTAGTTTGATATGTTGTTACATTAATAGCCGCCGCTTACCATCACCTGGGAAAGCCACAACATCACGGTAAATGTTCCCCGACCACGCCCCTTTTCCATATTCCGTTTCAATCTGAAGAAACGAACATGTCAGGAAAGAATTATCAAATAATTTCTGTGTAAGATATATCACCTTATTCTTTACCTACGTGCATTAAACTTTGTAATACTTTGAGTAAACTAAGACTTTAATAGACTTTACATTGCGTGGACTCGTTTTCCCCGACACTAATCAGCAATGCAGAGGGAAAATTTGTCGTAGGAGTTACACTGTAAGGCCACTGCACACAGCTGGTTAACGGAACTGCAGTATTTTGGCAACGGCCTCAGAAGGNTGGGGAGTGTTGGTTTTCAGATGTGCTAGATTTCTCTGGATAGTAGTATGTTTCTATCTCGCACTTATGCTCCATTTCGTCACGGCATCGAGGCCCTAAACAGGAGGAAAAAAATAAAATAAATAACAGAGAGATAAAAAGTTAAGTTTCGCCACAGGTAGCCCAAGCTCGAAATATGAGCATCGGCCAGCATCGGCATTGTTGCGTAACATTCAAAATATAAGGATTTGTATGGGAAAAAAGCCTATCGTTTCCGTAACCTACGAAAATGAAAGTATTTCAATAAAAAAACAGCTTACCTTACTTAAAATTTGTGTTTCGTCTTTCCTGTGTGGTCCACGGACCGATTTATGGCCGTTTTATGGGTTTTTATGGAAACAGTTTTCTTTCTATGTAAAGGTTTACAACGGGAGCAAGAGACTGTCTCCCACCCCGAGTGTGAGTAATTTGAGTCTCAGGCCGTGTCGCTATCTGTCAACGGTGACGCGGAGTTCAGGCCGAACCTTAGTCGATGGCTTCAGACGGGAAAGGTTGCAGAGATTTGCGACCTTTGATTCGCTCTCGGTGCAAAGGAGTCTTGAAGCAAGATAACGAATGGAAAGAAGAACTATCGTGTGATACCTGGGCGGAATTTGGAGGCGATTGGAGCAGTTGGAGCGAATTTCCGGCCGTTTTCCTTCGGGGGATCAGTCGAGCCGCTTTGCTGGAGTGCCCAACCTTGGTAAACCTTTATATAGAAAGAAAAACGTTTACATAAAAACCCATAAAACGGCCATAAATCGGCCCATGGACCACACAGGAGAGACGAAACACACATTTTAAGTAAGGTAAGCTGTTTTTTATTGAAATCCTTTCATTTTCGTAGGTTACGGAAACGATAGGTTTTTTTCCCATACAAATCCTTATATTTTGAATGTTACGCAATATTCGAGCTTGGGCTACCTGTGCTTTCGCTACTTTAAACAGAAGTCCATTAAACGGCACGGAAACAGTTAAAGATTAAAATCAACAACAACAAAACAAACAAAGAATCACTACATGATCAATAATAAAAGTAAGATGGATACGAGACAGACCTCTTTAGCCGCTTCATAATCTGCTCATTGAAATCACATGTTGTAAAGTAGTTTATGCGGCAGCTGTCATCTTCAATATGAAATCTGATGTTTGTAGCAGCAGTACTCACCTGCTATTGCCATGTTAGACGAGCCAGTATCGATTAAAAATTCCAGCTATAAATAAGAAATGTAGTATATTTGTATCTTTTCACCTACTCTGAAATCATTTTAATTGTTTTATTAATGTTACGTTGATGCCAGTATTGTTAGATGGAGGAAACCTAATCAACGAATAGAACATCCTTCTTTGGCATAAACGAAAATATTGTACAACCAGGTTTTTAAGCATAATAGTTCCAGTCTCTCATGTTTATATTCTTTATTATTGTACTCGCAGCTCATTTGATAACATCAAATACCTCACTCTTATTCTATTATAGAGCAGCTACAAGAAGTTAGTGGAAAATGTCGACACTAACTAACAATTCCCTTTCTGTTATCTTTCTGTGGGAAGTTAATAAATGTTGAAACCTGTCTGAGCAATAAGGGTTTATCACTTATGTTATGAACAAATGCGTTACCCTTTGTGGAGGTGTGCCAAGATCCAACTCAATAACATAAGCGTACGAAGTACTCTGTCACAAAAAAAAAGCATCGAATGAAAAATACAAATGTAATAACCGCATGCCTCTCTTTTACGTCTCATAAAGAGGGAAATTTGGTCTAGATTGCGCGTGCGCAATCTTATGACACATACCCTAAGCGAAAACTCTACTTCTTCTTCTTCTTCTTCTGCGTTATTTGTGGCTGGAGCTGGTGTTGTAGGTGAAATAGTAACATTTCTCTCATGATGATGCTTAGTTTTTCGTCTCAAATCAAATGACAATAGTGTCGACATTTTCCGTCCAGCACCGTGGGATCGCGTGTCTCCCACTGTACTAACTAGAGGCCACAGGAGTAATCCAAACAGTGCCCATTGAAGCTGGAACATAACCACAAAACCACAGCTTCATACATTGGAATGGTCAGGAGGTCATCATGTTTGAAGAAGGAATGTACAGATTAAAGCAAATCCATGATTTTTCTGTGTTGCCGAGTTATTTTTGACCCTCGCGCCAGCGAAAGAGCCAATAATTGAGTGAAATCATGCGTGTCGTCATCATTAACACTACCCGTAAGTTTTGACACTTGACGAGACAAACTAACTGCTCATGACTTTAACTGAACGGGTCGTTTGGTTCTAAAATTACACTGGCCAAACGACATTGAAACGAATTACTCTAAGCTTGCAGCATTTAAATCTGTTTGTTTCAAGGCATTGATTTTGAAGAGAGTCTTATCAACCTGCTCTTTTGTGCTACCTGTCCAGGTAACTTCACACTGCTTATTTCATTCCCCCAGTTCTACATCCGAAATATTATATCATTGCTTCTACCTCTAGATCAATTATGGCAATTTGAGGGATTTTTGACATGAAAGCCACCTTTGCTATGAATTCACCTCGGGATTTCTTCAAAGGAAGGTCCCCTCCCTAAAAAAAATGTCCGAATCGCAGGTTAGAGTCTTAAGTAAAAGAAAACAAACAAAGAACAAACCAACCAAAAGAAATTAAAATAAAAGAAAAAGTAAAATAACAAAGATTCTCGTCCAAAGTAGTTCATAGTTCCTTGCCCTCTTTTCAATTTCGTGATTTTTCTAAGAACAATGCTCAGAGCCAGAACGACCTTATTCCCGTTTCTCTCACCGGTTTGTTTGTTTTATAAAGGATGGCTGTTTCCTTGTTTACTTTCTAGATCCCCGTGTCCTTACTTTCTGGAAGATATTAATTTTTATATCTTCTGCCTTTGAACATCTTACGTCTAGATGTTCAGATGTTTAGTAACCTGATTGGCTAAATGAATGACTTCGAGTTCAGAGTAAAAACAATTGCGATGCATGAAAGCAGCTGGCTTAGATACCGCAGATCTAGTCATTTATTAACATCTACTTCTCCTTTTAAACAATTTTAAATTGGTTGATTCTATATATTGTCACCATTCTTGCGTTTTTCTCCTATGATTTTTGTTAGGGTTTAGATATGTATCCGCTTGAAACTGTTCTCATTCCGAAAGAGTTTCAGGAAAGAGTTGTGAGAGCTGTAGTTTGTTGCTGAGGATAAGGGAAAGAGAGGGAATTTGTTTACATTCTATTTTTAGCTTTGAATTATAATCATCATCAAGATACTGTTGATACTCAATGAAAATAATTCATTAGCAAATGGACAAATAATATTTTGAGAAATGAAGAGTGTTCATACTCATTGCAATCAGAACACTATATCATCGGTGTTAACAAAAACGTGTAAAAAAAAACTTTTCTTAAACCCAGAAGGATTCGAACAGAACTAGGTGCCGAAAGATACACATCAGACGGATCACACTGCAGTGGACTGGGATGAGCACAATTCAGTTTGTAGCTGGGTTTGGCATTTGCTATCACTTTTTTAAACGATTTTATCCTAAATTTTAAAAATAATGTCTGGAATTTGTCCATCAGCCGTTGTTGTTCCGTTGAAGCTGGCTTCATCTACGTCGAATCTAAACCTAATACCCTCTGCTATGACATCTCTCATTCCGTCAGTACCCCCCAGCGTGGAGGGTCCTTTTAGAAGGACGCGAATGACGTACGGCTGCTGACATCTTACTACAACAGGTTCGTCAAATAAGATGTCATTCACATGTTTATTTGCATCAGCAAAGAAAGTTCCTTCATAAGTGCACATAACGTCATTATGTGAGTCCAACAACTCTACATCCACACTAAACGATCTTGAACTGTCCTCTACGTTACTTACTCCATAAAGTCCAACTCCTAAAACAGTAAGATCTCGATCAACTGTGAACTTGATACTATCAACGTTTGTTCCCTCACACAGCCAATCTTGTCCATAACTGGGGAACCTTCTACAGCGATACACCCTATGGGCGCCTTGCCGGGGGTGGGTCAGGAAGCTGTTAACTTTGGATTCGTTTTTAGACCCAAAATACAAAAATATATTTATAGTTTCCTCCGAAGTAAGAATTCCCGACTGCGCGGCATCCTCTGAAAATTCTCTCAGAGTCATGACTGGGAACCGAATAAAATTAAGAGCGCTCAAGAGAACACCTCTTTTGTTTTCTGGTGTTGGCGGAAGGATTTTCCGGTTGCATTCGGCCTCCGCCCAGCGTTTAATGGCTTTGAAGAGATCTGCTTCAAGAACCGTCAAGGTGTCACGTGTTAGTACTGCAAGTAAGGTTTCATGATCGATTTCCGTGAAGGAATCTGAAGACAACACTCTCGCCGTTTCTCTGTCGATAATTTCCCAGCACTTTTCCTCTAGTTTCGGCTCACAAAAGTAGCGCGCTTGAGCTAGGAGGGTGAAGGCATTTTGATAATCAATGTTCTCTTCGAGGAAATGCACACACTTCTCAGCCAAAAATGGGAGGATGTATTTCTTTGCCAAGTACAAAATGCCAAACACGTTCGTTGGATCAATGTTTGCTTCGTCGTAGTAAATGTATCTCAGGAGTTCTAGAAAGCTGCCAACTTCACAGTCACCGATTTTAATTTCGTTTTCCTTTTCAGCCATTCTCCCATAAAACATGGCATAGAAGACAGGGCTGCTGATTGCCATAACGAATTTATGAGCTGGAATCCTCAATTTCTCCGACTTGCCAACGATAAAATGGACGTCACTCATCAGTTCGTTGTTAAACATAAATCGACTTCTTTCTGTAATATTTTTCTTTTCTGTTTGCCACGTTCCCTCCCCGTATTGACCAGTGTGAGTATATCCCGCCATATTTCCCTCAGCAGAGTACAGGAAGATACGATATGTTTTCGTAGGGTCTGTTTCCCGGCACCTGTTTTTATTTTGATAGACCACCAGTTTCGTGTGAACTCCTTCAAGCTAGCCAATCGCTGTTCAAGAGGAGACTGTGGGCTCAGAGCCAAGCCCACGCATGTCAAACACTGAACATTATGGGTCTTAATTGTTTTGCAGGTTCCATATTCATCTGCAAAGAAGCAGAAACAAAAGGGACCATAACTAAATAAGGAAATGGATTGTAGAAACTGAACTACCACACCGTATACACGCGGTCAGTAATATATCATCAGTGTTCAGCACATGTAAAGCGAGCGGCCGGCACATTGCAAGGTTTGACACCATTCATTAGCATTTAGTCTCACCGCAACAACAAAGACACGAAAGATGACTGGGTCTGAGAGAAAGACGCTAATATACACTTCACTGTCGATCCCTTGAAGCCAGGGTTGGCAAGAGGAATAACTGATTCCTTTATACACCCGAAAAAATTGGCCAAAACGCCAAAAACTCTCCCAAGACTGTAAGAAAGCAGTATACCTTCATCTCGAATCCGTTAGCTTGCTTAGAACTTTGGATGAAAAAAGAAACCGTGTACGCGATTTGAGACCCCCTGTATAAGATATACCCACAAACCCTCTCCGACCCAGTGAAGAGGTTAATTGTTTGTAATTAACAAACGAATGGATGAAGATACTTTTAAAAATGTTTTGATACACAGTTATTAAACGAAGATCGAAGGGGAGTTAATGTCGGTACATCTTTTCTGTGGGTCAGAAAGGAATTTATTAGTCCTAAGAACGAAAAATTATTAAACTAGAAATTCAGCAATCGTTATGCACTGTTTTTCACGCTTTTATGCTCTATCAAAAATGTAAAAAGCACAGGAAACGACTGTTAGGAAAATATGTCGAAAAATTTAAGAAGGAAACTGCAGTTTATTTCGAATCGAAATAAAAAGAAAATTTTAAGTTTGATAAGCGACAGCTGAATGATGACACTAGAGAGCAATCACGCTATTTGTAAAAGTGTTTGTGACAGTTGTGATTCCCGGATTCCAGTTTTAAAGCTCCAAACTAGCAAAATAAACACGAAATGGAACTTTGTATCGAGAGACAGCTGAATGATGACACTAGAGAGCAATCACGCTATTTGTAAAAGTGTTTGTGACAGTTGTGATTCCCGGATTCCAGTTTTAAAGCTCCAAACTAGCAAAATAAACACGAAATGGAACTTTGTATCGAGTTCATCTTGGTTGAAAGAAATACAAAAAGGACTGTCCTTAATGAAAATTGCAACTATTTTCAAAGATCCTTTATTAGCCGTCTTTGTCAATGAGTTTGTTTGTGACTACTGACGTACCATGTAGGTTAACATAATGAAAACTTTTCACTCAAATTTGTTCCCTTATATGGCTCTGTTTAATACAAACGAAAATCTATAGTAGCTTCAGGCCAAAAGGTGTTCAACAAAATAATTGAAAATAACGACATATTATCCCGCCCCTTGTTTTGCCGATATTGAAACTTGACCAGTCTATAATTACTCCGGCCTTGTCCGGAGGAAGGGTATCAATCTCGCTCAGTTATCAAATACGCGCACCACTAATGTTTTTATCATGGCGTCTATAAATGCAAATACAGCAAACACAAAAACGCAATCTCCCATTTGCATAATGTTATTTTTAAGAGACAAGCATGCTTTAATGAAATTTAACAAAACTCTTCACATTGATTGTGTTCTTTTTATTTCTCTTTTCCAAAGGATAAGGTTGCGAACTACTTATTTAATAAATAAAAAATTTCTTTTTCGGGAAGAAAGAGGGCAAAATAGGTATAAAATTCGGGCATCTTTTTCGGAAGATCAACAGGGACTCCCTAACTAAGTCGTACGACTGAATAATTTATCATTTTAACTCTCTCGAACACAATGTGCGGAATATTCTGGAGTCTGCTACTGATAAGTAGACTTTGCGTTTTTCTAAGTTTTTTCTTTCGAGTGTGAAAACCGCCACTACATTCCCAAGAATGGATTCCTCTTAGCTCTCACTTGGCTGATAAAAACTATATGAATATTGTGTACATTTGTCACTTATCTGCAAATGCTCTTCCGCAATTCCATCTTAGCAAATTCTTGACAAGGGTACCATAGCTCTACAGCAACAGTGAATCTCTTAGCATGTAATAGAGCGAGATACCTTCCATTTCTTTAAAGTAGATAACAAGTATTTTAGTACAGCAAAGAGTGTGGTTACGAGATTTCGAGAAAAACCTGCACCTATTAATATTGAGTTCAACTTGTCTGTCGTCTAGGTCAGTATCCTATTTAACACATGAATAGCTCTCATTTAATTTCCCATTTTCTTCCACCAGCCCGATTTAATGTCTTCTTTCACTTGGTCAGTGAAAGTATCGCGGAAAACTTTTTGCCTTGTAGCTTGTTTTAGATATTCTAGTACACCTCCATATTCTTGAGATATTGTAAACCCTTTTAGTTCTCCAGCTTCCTTCACATGCATCAACTTTGGCAGTAAGTTACAGTCAGGGAGCTTCAGTTTTTCGCCATCCAAGTAAGCTCCCGGGCTCTCATTTTCCAGAAACTCGTTGAGCTTAAGCAATTCCCTGTTTAGATCACCACGAAGCTTAGCGTCGAGTTTAGGGTTGCTGTTACGCATAAATTTCGCAAATTTTGAGTATAGATCTTGTCCAGCTTTGTCGGCCTTAGAGTATTCTGCAATCTTTAGATCTGGTTCTGGAAAGTTATTCTCTATGTAATCCTCAATCGCCTCGTAGTTATCTATCGGCTCTCTATCGCCGGGTTCAAGGACAGGTAGTTTTTTATACTTGGCATTTTTATTGAGATCCACGTATTCTATCTGGAATGGGATTCCCTTTAGACCTAATACCATCACAAATCGCTGACTGGTTGGACAGTCGCCGAGCTGGCTGAGTGCTTTCTTATGATCGTTGGAGCCCTAAATGTAAAAATAACGCTTGAGTAAGTATGGGTTTTCTTTTGAAAAAGTCTGTCTTGTGAAAATATAACTATAAAATATCAACTGACCTTAACAACCAGTTTCAACGCCATTTCAGAACTTTATCTGCGACTGTTTCTGGGTATCACCTGGGACTTTAAAGTAAACTTCTATCCTTTCGAGCAACAATTATGCTAATGTTAAAAACCGCAATTTGTAACCGATGATAAACAAAACCTTGAACTGCTTCCAGGCCCCCGCGCTATTCCTTTAAAGATCTCACACATGCTTCCCTATGTGCATTGCGCTGGTTAATATCTTTTTTAGTCCAGCGGTCTTATTATCAGTCCGGAATATCTCTCCGCGATCTATCAATTTATCTGTAAATTGTGAAAATTTTTGATCACTGAAACGATGTTTTGATTTGTGTTTTGATAAACACAAGCGCGCCTTCTCATTGGTTGAAAAGAATCGCGTGACCAGTTGGCCCTGTCCTTAAATTTAGGGGTATTCCGGACTGATTATTCGGTGCTTACTATGCATTTTGTGTCACGTAGTCCGAGCGAATTTTTTTGCCCTGGTCTCGGGTACGTCACCGAAACGCATTGACCGGGAAGGCCTAGAGAAACGTTATACAACACTGACTTGTCTGCAATCGTCTCCGTCGTAACCTGAGATGACTCAGGGCAAATTTTGGCATGTTTCATGTATTCTCGCTCACGTGAAATGTTATTTATAAAAACAAAAGCAAAATACAGCCTGATCGCGGGCTATTCTGTCGCCTCGTTTCTAAGGGCATCCTTCCCATCACATACAGCGCACTGGCAGGGACGGCTGGGGATAGAATATTTGTAAGGCATCGTGAGAATATATAAAAAAGCAGCAAGTCCACAGCGACAAAGCAGTGGGTGGTGCCGGGTCTCCCAGTTGTAGATCTGGATCAGTACAATAACAACTTGTAGAAAAATATGAACGGCAAACTGGAGAGTGACCCTTATAACTTTTGCCCTATATCTGTCCTCCCGGTTTTGTCAAAGATAATCGAGCGTCACTTTAATGACTCATTGTACGATTTCTTTAATGAGAACAATCTAATATACTCTAGACAGTTAGGATTCCAAAGAAAGCACAGTACCGAGACTTCTCTTATCAAGATAATTGATAAACTATTGTTTAACCTAAACAAAGACAGGGTGTCAGGCATGGTTCTGGTGGATTATCGAAAGGCGTTCGACATGGTTGATCACAAACTTCTGTTGAGAAAATTAAAGGTGTATGGCGTTGCCAATCAGGAGCTCAATTGGTGTCGCTCATATCTATGCCGCAGAAAACAAGTGGTTCATGTACGAGGAAAGGAGTCGGGTGAGGCGATGTTAAGGTATGGGGTCCCGCAAGGCAGTATATTGGACCGCTGTTCTTTATCCTGTTCATTAACGATTTGCCCCTACATGTCAGTGCAGATGTAGATCTTTACGCAGATGATACGGCTTCGGCAGATGCGAAGAACTTGACCCATCTAGACCTGTCACTAAATAAATCTGTCAGAGAAATTCAAGCCTGGACCAGGGCTAACAAACTGCCTAAAGGAGGACAAAACTAAGGTTCTCACGATTCCTGGAAAGAGGCTTAAATCAAAACTGAACTGTTAACTTTCTGTTAGGACTGACAGCAATACTACCTTATGTAATGTAGAAAGTGCAGCCTTGTTAGGTTTAGGAAATCGATAGCCATGCACATGTTGATAAAATATGCAAAAAGCTCGCCTCGCGAATTGCGGTGCTGCGAAAAATAAGAGCCCTCCTACCNCAGTTGTAGATCTGGATCAGTACAATAACAACTTGTAGAAAAATATGAACGGCAAACTGGAGAGTGACCCTTATAACTTTTGCCCTATATCTGTCCTCCCGGTTTTGTCAAAGATAATCGAGCGTCACTTTAATGACTCATTGTACGATTTCCTTAATGAGAACAATCTAATATCCTCTAGACAGTCAGGATTCCAAAGAAAGCACAGTACCGAGACTTCTCTTATCAAGATAATTGATAAACTATTGTTTAACCTAAACAAAGACAGGGTGTCAGGCATGGTTCTTGCGGATTATCGAAAGGCGTTCGACATGGTTGATCACAAACTTCTGTTGAGAAAATTAAAGGTGTATGGCGTTGCCAATCAGAAGCTCAATTGGTGTCGCTCATATCTATGCCGCAGAAAACAAGTGGTTCATGTACGAGGAAAGGAGTCGGGTGAGGCGATGTTAAGGTATGGGGTCCCGCAAGGCAGTATATT